GAGAAAACAAAGACACTGCTCTTTTACCTCCACACTGTGTGACATGCCTCTCACTTCCTTCGAAGAAATTTATCTGAATACATATCAAAATTCATATTCCCAGTTATGAATGCTCTGGAAAGAGACCAAAACTAGCTTAAGCCCTGGAGCATGCAGCTTGTCCTCCTTCTTCCACACATACCATATCCTTCTCATGTTTTCTAGTTTTGGGCCATTTGTAATAGGTAGGAGTTCAAATTAGTTGTTTACAATCAAGTTAGTGCCAGAGAGAGTACCTGATTCTGAGCCGTTTCTATGCAGCATTATGGGAGCTGATGACAGCCCAGGATTTGGTTGAACCCTTGAAGAGGTTGAGAGACTTGCAATTTTTTAACTAATTGTAGACTACCATAGTCAATTCTGATTTTCTGCAGTGTGTAGATTATCCCTCTCTKCATTGTAGGCAATGACAGTCTAGCACTGACAGTGCTTTGTGACATGCAACAAGTTGGTTCATCTTAAGTTAATTATTCTGATTTTTATGGTAGTCTTGCGCTGCTCAGTCTAAATATAGTAATGAGAGTATGCTGCATCAGGATCAATATCTGATTTGTAGAATCTTGCTCAAGTCAGTGAGATTTGATTATGGCTGTCTGTGGCAGATGCTAAAATGCTCCTATGAGTCCAGTGGGGCCAAGCCTTKGTAGCTCCTGTGAACATTGACTTACTGCCATCATTATTTTCTTTAAAATACATGTGTTTTGAACCAAGGACTGTGTTGTSGGGATTTTGTTTGAGGAACCAGTATTAATTGACAGCCAAAGAAAATGTTGTTTGGTGCTGAAATTTCAGCCTAACACAGATATCTAAGTAATGCTATGCAGGTATAGGTTGGGGGTTTTTTTCCTTTTTTTATTTTTTAGCTTTTCATTACGGGGCTTGAAAGCATATAAAAGAAAATGGAGACTGGTTTGTGGGTTGAGGGATTTTAATGCTAATGTCTGTCGTGGTTTAGAGAAGCTGGAATCAAAGAACAGAAAGGAAGTGGGGAAAAAAAAAGTCGCTGTGAGAGAAACAGTAACTCCTTGTTGCAAAAACTGTTAGCATTTCTTGGGAAGCAATCTTATGTTAATTATGCTGCAAYTGATTCAAAATAAACCTCGAAGTTGTCAGGAGAAAACAAAAGTCTTATGATCTTTTTAGAAAATGTTGTATTGGTTTTGTGAGGTCTTTTTATTGGCATTATGAAGAACAGTGGGTATCTCTCTTCAGTACCTATCAGATGCTGCATTTTAAAACTGTTAYTGTTTCATTTCTCCGTTTGTTGGTTTTGTGCAACTAGCAGGGAGGGATTATTTTAGAATTACGAGTTGCATGTTTTCCTTCCTCAAAAAAGCTGGAGAAGTCTATAGGTAAGTTCTTCAAAATAATTTAAAGGGTGTGGGGTCAGCCTAACCTCACAGAGTAATTAGTTTTATGTTGCTGGTTAGAGAGAATAGTTAGTTTGACTCCTTTGCCATGTTGTGTTGCTGGAAAAGGGTTTGGTAAACTGTGACTTGGGAAGTTTGTATGCTAAGAGTATTTGTATCTGTTTAGAAAGTACAATAAGTAACCTTTTTATTTYTCAAATAGTTGTTTTGCAGATCGTTAATGCAAATGCCATAAGAAGGGAAGGGACAGTCTTATGACTAAATTTTTGTGAGAGACTGAAATATTGATGGTAAATGTCTTAAATTTGCAAAAGCAGGTTGTGTTTTGCTGATGATGTGTGAGATTAACAGCCCAGGTACATAGGGTGTGAGCACCAGGGGATGACCACAAAAAGCCAGCATCTATTTAGCAAGAAGCTGGGGTTTGAGCCAGATAAGGGAAGAGGCCTGTAAGAAGCGTTTCATCATGTTGTCCTTTATTCTGCTAGCTCAGATGCGAAGGCTCCCCTGCGGGGGGGGGGTGTCTTCTGTGTTCTGGTTACTTTGTCCTCTAAATGTCCTCCYTCTAAAGGGGAAGTGTAATCAGTTATCTCTGACAAGTTCAAATCGGTGCTAATTACTGGTTCAACATCCTTCAGGAATCTTAAAACATGGTTTGTATTGTAGAGATGATAGTAAGTGGGAGCAGAGGAAGACCTCGGGTGCTTTCTGACTTTTTGTGTWTTCCAAAGCAAAAATGGTTGCCAGTGCAAACTCTCCTTATGCCTAAAGACAGGTATTGCTAGATAAAAGTATTTTGAGTGATTACAAGTACCCATGTGCCGAATGAAATATGATTTCTTTCTATTTGCAGAACAGGATTCAAGTCTAATGTGCTCTTTGCATGCTGACATTTTGTTACTTTAATCTGATAGACTGATATTTTGCATTAGAATTTGGTACAAAGAATCTCTACTACAAATGCTTAAGTCCCCTTGTTTTAAGCTCTTAAATGCAGCAAAGTAAACAGGCTTAATGCCTCCTTATCAGGAAATTTTTAACATTTGCGCCAGTAATGAATAGTGTTTAACTTCAATATAAAGTGTTGTGAAATTAATATTAACCAGACCTKTAGTTCTGTAGATGCAGATCTGTGCTTTGTGTATCATCACAGGAAGCTGTTTTAGAATGTGTTGGTTTGTCTTTGACCCCATAGTGGAACATTTGGGGAAGTAACTCTCTGTTTCAGGTTTGTAGAATTAAAAAAACCTCCCACACTTTGGTTTAAGTAGTGTGTCAGCCATACTGTCATCAGTGTTTCCAGTCTTCTTTGCATGCTCAGGTTTGATAGCATTAGAAGACCCATTGGCATATATGCAACACATTATTATGAAAGATGCATGCAACAGACAAATGCATATTTCCTCCTTTTCCCTGTCTTCTGCCATCTTCTCATTTCCTCTTTTACTATTTCTTATTCTTCCCTTTTGTTAACCATTTCCTCCTCTTACTTACAGTAAACCTTGAAAATCGATGATGGATGATGGTTGTAGTCTCCAGAGTTGTCAATGTGCAGTTTTGTCTTGTGTGTTTATGTCTTCTATGTGAGAAAGCCAAGGAGAACAGGCAGTAATCCTTGTCTTCCATCCTGTTGTGTCATCCCTTGTTCTTTTTTCTCTTCTTCTTCCTTTATTTTTCACTGTTGTTGTTTGTCKTTTCCCCAGCTGCAGTTCACATGTTGCATGCTGAAGCTCTTTGGTCCAGGATGCATTACTGTCTTTTGTCTTTGTCATTTCTATATAGATAGTAAACATAACTAAGATTTCATTCTATTTATGAGTTGCCACGGTTTCAAGTATTTCGTTTGTGGGGCAAAGGTTTGAGAAGTGTTGGACCTTTTATGTCTAGGAAATGGCTGCCATGTGAGAGAGAGAACCAACCAATAATGGCAAAATGAAGTTTTGTTATGTTATTAAAAATTAAGAAGTGGGCAGAGCAGTTGCACATTGGAAAAAAAATATGCACGGTATCTATTTGGCAGTGTGGCACACAGATTCATTTTATGTTTATAGTTTCACATACACTTAGTCACAGAGAAAAGCATGAGAACATAGAACTACAGAAATGTTTTGCTTAGTAGTTATGTCTTTRCAAATATGCCTTGGCATTGCTCTTGCTAGGGAATATCCAGGGGCATTTGAAAATGTAATTTAAAAGCCACCCCAAGGGATGCTGCAAAATGGCAGTTGGGTACCATCCTCCTTTCTCAAGGTAGTCAGCACATACACCTCTAGAATGTAATTTCTAAAGCCCTTACGGTATGTCACTGCAGGTAGGCTTTTAGATGGTGGAGTAATAAAGACTACATTGAGCAAAAAATATAGGTAAAAATTATAGAGATTATAGTTGTTAATAGAAAGGTAAAGGTTTGTTCTTGAGACTACTTAGTCTTTACTCTCTTACCTCTATTGAATAAACTACACAAAATGTTCATATATACATTTCTTGTACAGGATAGGATTTGGCAGTGGGTTAATCAATTTCTCTGAATACACAAAATAGCCTGGATCTAGCGTGACATAAGTAATGCATTGTGCTGATAGAGCAAWTACTGCTTCAGTCMCAAGTTAATCTATATAAACATGTATAGTGTAAGAACCTGTGTGTAACCTACACTTGCAAACTTAAGACATTTAAATGTAAATAAACCCATGTGCTTAAGACTTCAGATACTTAGAAGTAAACAATACAGAAGTCTGCATAATATATTGCTCCACAGAGTCCAGTTGACTCCAGCAGTTCAGCTAATTAAATTATGTAACATACATGCTTCTGTACTTGTACTTTCTATTCTCTTGAAATGTACCTTTTGAATAAAAAAAAATATTGTAGGAAAACTGCTTTTGCAGTTTATTCATTGAAATTTGTACCTCTCAGCTGAAATCTGTACCTCTCAGATTAAGATTATCTTTTCTTAGTTTGAGTGCTGATGACAGTCTCTTCCAAACTGCCCTTTTAAGACAAATATTCCCCACTTATTGGAATTGCAAACCATATAGCTTATTTTGAGCATCTGAATAGAACAGCACATCTGTTATATATTAAATAAACAGGACTTTGTGACCATTTGTCATTTTTCTTTAATGAGTTTTGTACTACTRTATTATTTCCCTAATAATGACTTCAGGTAAGTATGAGAACATGTTGCCAACACTGGCCATTGGTTTGTTTCTTTCTTCTTTACTTAATTCCTTATCATTTGACGGATTTTATATTAGCAATAAAAGTATATACAGCAGGTATATGTATGTGAGGGTGTATATGAGTGAAACTACACTTTTTCTCAGAAATCAATGACAACTCTTTTTTTTGCACGATGAGGTATAAAGACCATGTTAGATGTGCAGAAGAGCCTACTTACGTGTAACTGATCAGGTGGCCAGTTTCCTTCATAACCCATGTTGCTGGGTTTTTTTTAAATCAGGCTGCTGAATCTTTTCATCGTGAATTTCTTTGATAAAGGCATAGCACAAATTCATTCAGCAACTGGCATTAAGCTTGCAAGAAAGCAATGTGGATTTAAAGGCATGATTCTGGTACTGATTTTTTTGTTTTTGTTTTGTGTTTTGTTTTTTTTTAGGGCAGGTKAAAGTATTCAGGGCCCTGTATACATTTGAGCCCAGAACGGTAAGTATGTCTTGACTTTAGGAGGTTGAGAATTTTAATTTTAATCTTAATTAGTCTTAATTTTAATCTTAATTTGTCTATATTATTTCTTCAGTTCTGCTAGGATTGGCATATTGGACTTACTGTACTATATTTTTAATGATAAAGTCTGTTGATGGATAGCCCCTCTTGATGTGAATAAAACTAACTGATTAATCATTACTCTCTTTTAAAACCAACTCCGTTTAAAAGCATGTTTTATTCCGTAGTATCAGTTACAACCGAAGATCACAAATCTTAGGTAATTTATTTTTTCTTCCAAAAACTACAATGATAATTGAGATCTAAGAGATCTGGTGAATTGGGACCAACCAAAAAGGGGATGAAGTTAACATAAGGTATTTTTCACTACTTTTGTTGGCACAGCACTCTGTTGGAAAGACCGCATTCTTTCGGTGTTGTTAGGAAAGTCACAGATCCTAGAAGTTAGCTATAAGCAAGTCAAATTATGGACTGTCAGGCTGTTGTCTAGGTGATAGAGAATTTGAGTTATTMTTTTGAAGTAACAGGTGAATGTATTTTGACTTATCCAGATATTTGTTTTTCCTACATACATACATTCAAATATTTGTTTACTCTTCTTTTTAATTTTTTTTWAAGCCAGATGAATTGTATTTTGAAGAAGGAGATATCATTTATATCTCGGACATGGTGAGTCTAAGACATCCCACACAGACTGGATACTTCTGAGATGCAGTATATCCCTTCTGAAATTCTTACTTTTCTCTTCAGAGTGATACAAATTGGTGGAAAGGAACTTGCAAAGGGAGAACTGGACTAATTCCAAGCAACTATGGTAAAGTCTAGAATATTTTTATTTGGTAATATCATTCACAGTCAAAGGAAATCACTGAACAAAAATATATCTTTTTAAAGCCAGATCACAGTATTGATATTTAACAGTACTCAACCCTGTATTTCAAAATACATMTGTCTGCAGTATCAGTAACCAGTGTACATCACCAGTGGGCAAGGCTGCCTTGTGTTTTTATAACCAGAGACAGCTTGAATTTGCTGAGTGTTCTTCTTTCTGGTTATGCAGGTAACAGATACTGAGATGCTTTCAGATTTGAGGGGAAGAACACTTGGATCTAAAGGAGGGGATTGTGTTTGCCTTTTGTTGTATTTTAGTGAATCTATTTACCACAGAAAATACTCGTTTCTTGGGGATTGGACCATGTTAAATATCCCATATATGTTTGGACCCAATAGAAACTGCTTTTCCAGATTCAACTAAAATCACTTTTAAAAGTCATACATACAGACAACACAACACAATTCTTCCCAACTCCTGCCAGGAATTGTAGGCAGAGCAGCAGTGTCTCATGACAGATTGCATCACATGATAGTATGATAATAAATGAAGTTGCATCATGTCCTTTTTCAGTAGGAGACATTATGGTAGCCATGCTATGTTTCTCTGCCCTGCAGTTGGTAGAAGTGCATTATTGGAAATCTATGGTGTAGTTACTGAGACCATGGCATGAAATTTCAATTTAGTTTGTGACTTCCAAACTGACTCCACTTTTGCTATTTGCCACAGATCAGAGATCATGCACTGTTAATGTGCAGAAAGAGTAGTTTATACATGCTACATGCCTACATTCAAAATTTCTTTTGAATACCAAAATGTTTTAATTTAAAATAAACCAAACAACCTATTAATTCGTATTCCCATTGAGATTATTTGGAAAGCTTCAATTTTAGACCAGGGTTGGAGAGTGGTGTCTCTGTCTGTACATTTGCAAAAGTTCCATGTATAAGCAGAACAGAAGCTCTTGCGGACCTTAAGAACAAAGAATACTAGGAACATGTCTTCTGATTTAGACAGATTGTTCAATCTGATGCTGCTGTTTGAAGTTTCCACAAACTTTTCTCTGAATTARTGTCACATGCACAGGAAATCGAAGTGCATCTTGTTAGTCTGTCACTCACAAATCTCTTCATGTTAGAATCAAATATGTTTTATTTCCACACAGGTGTCAAGTACATTTTTCAGAAGTAGTTAGAATTTRCTCTTTCATTTCAGTGGCAGAGCAAGCAGAGTCTATTGATAATCCACTGCATGAAGCTGCCAAACGAGGTGAGTATGTTTGGAGTTTTAGTTGTGTAGTGCTGAAGGATGATGTGCTTGTTTTCTACAATAATAATAATGTATTCAGAATGAAAATGTTCTGCCTCCTTTGGTTGTCTTTTTCCTTGAGCAAGTTATCTGGTGAGTTTGGAAAAGGTGAGATACAGCCTGGTAGAATTGCCACTCTGTGTATACGCTGAAAAAATGTGGTAGCATCCATTTAACTACATTGGGATATAAAGGTCTTTGGGGAATGGAAGAAAAGACATTTGGTATGACTGGTTGTTCAATGAATTACAAATGTTGCTGCTAATCATGTTTTCTGTTCATAAGTTCATGGGAGGACTGACACCATTCAGAAAGAGCTACCTACCTTTAAAAGTTGTATTAAGTGTTCAAAGAAAAAAAATAATCAAAGCTGATTTTGTCTTTCAGGTAACCTAAGCTGGCTGAGAGAGTGTTTGGATAATCGAGTTGGTGTCAATGGCTTAGACAAAGCTGGAAACACAGCTCTGTATTGGGCATGCCATGGAGGCCATAAAGGTATCAGAGATTTAATCTGAAATTATTGTTCTATGGTTTTCTTGTTATGCTTGTTAGGCTAATTGTTAAAATGGCAGTGCTAAATAATAAAGCCAGGGTTTTTTTTATGTCATTCTATTTTTTTAAAAATTAAAAATGAGCTAGAAGGGAGGTTCTGCTCCATAAAATTCAGTGTGTTTTGTTGCTGTTGAAGCAGGCATGCTAATTAATGTAACTTAGGAAAAGAGTGGAAGAAGGACAGCTCAAAAAGAACTGTGGTATTATTTTAGGTGTTTTATGCTGTAGCATTTCTTTGTGACTAGTGGTTGTTTGCCCAATGCAGTCTAAACTTACAGGTTTTCAATAGCTTATTTGATTGGTCTTTCATTGAATCTTAACCACAATGAATGCAAAAAAACACATAATGCATTTTCACTAAWTTTTTCTTTTTAACATCTCTCCCCATTTTCTGCAGATGTAGTAGATGTTCTGCTTACCCAGGCAAATCTGGAGTTAAACCAACAGGTAAGTTAAACCAAGAGACCCTTACAGTAGAGGTGTAATATTACTCACCCTTGCTAGAAGCTGAATGTTTTTTCTGCATTTTAATCCTGTTGCTTTTCCCTCTAACTCCACAGAACAAAYTGGGAGACACAGCTTTGCATGCTGCTGCATGGAAAGGTTATGCAGATATTGTAGAGATGCTGCTGGAAAAGGGTAAAGATCTTCACCAAGGTTTCAACAATCTCTGTGCAGACTAGATTCTTGAATGGTTTTTAATTTGTATTTCTAAGTGCACATAACTCAGGTACAGTCCTTAGCCAACTCACCTGCCTGACTTGCAGAAAAAGTCTTGCAGAAAATTCAGGCAGTCTTCTTTCTGGAAAGTAGATATCTCTCTTGCTCCAGATGATTTCATCCTGCTTTGCAGACAAAATTAGGCACTTAAACCCCAGAACAGCAATGACACCTAGTTCTTAAAAAGGAAAAGCAATCACCAAGTTCTGTAAACAACTGTAGCTTATGGAAGAGCATCCATAGCTTTTGGTCTGCTTCAGAGCAGCCAGTAGGTCAGATTCCCTTGTCCATTACTCTTCTACCCACATTATTGAAATACATGTCATAATGACATTGCTTCAGAAATAACTGGGATAGTGATTTATAATGAAAATTTTCTTTGTGAAGGGGCAAGAACAGATCTGAAAAACAATGAGAAGAAACTGGCTTTAGATATGGCAACGAATGCAGCTTGTGCTTCCTTGCTTAAGAAGAAACAGAGTGCAGGTATTTCCAATGTTGTTTTTCTGATAATTTTACCTTTTGCTTTTTGAGGCATTTAGTATTTTAACCAAATACCAATGTGTTGATCACCATAAAAACCATTTGGGAGGTATATGACTTGTGTTTAGAAGGGCTTGCTTGAGGGGGTTAGTTTAGAGCTATGATATAAACATGGTTTATCATATGCAGTGCTGCTGATTTCCACACAAAATGCCATCTTGTGTTAGAAAGAGGCAGAAGAGTTCAGAAGGTGTGAAAATAGTAAGGGAAGAGAAGGAAATACAAAACAGAATGAAAGCAAGGATGGAAATTACTTTAAAAGTACTATACCACAAGGGACAGAGTACAAGAATAAAACAAAGTGCTGTCTTACCCCATGTGCTTGCCTGTTCGTCTGAACTTAAGCCAAACAAGCACCAACAGATAATCCTCTTTTTCTTTCTGCTAAATTTTTTTACTTTCTTGTTTCTGTGTGTCTCTGAGTGACTGTCTAATAGAGAAATAAAGAAAGAATGCTTTCAGGTGTTTATCAAAATAGTCTCACTGCCTCCCATTGTGTTCATCTCTCTTGATGGCATAGTGTCTGTGTTGAAGAGAGTTCAAGAGGCTATTTTAAAAAGCTGAACAAAGACTGAATTGTTTAGTATTGTGTAACTGCTCTTGCCTGTAACTTTCAGGAAACTGAAGTTAGGGCGGAACTCTAAGTGGAACAAAAAATCGCTTTAAAACACAGGCAGGCAGAATTACAGTTGRTTTTGGTGGCATATGCAGTATAACAACTGCATTGTCACAGGACTAGTGAGAACAGAAGGAATGCTAACCTGTAGGAGCCTAGAGGTTATGGTAATTAAATGGAGGAATAGCTGACTATAGCTTGAGAAGACCAAGAGCATCAAAAATACTGTCCTGCTCTTTGGTAGAGGTAAAATCATGATTTCCGAGAAAACTGGCAAATTACTTCTCCCAATTTTGGTTCTGAAAAAAGCAGCTGTAAAGAAGGGTAGAAGTCCTTCTGTGTGTTTGTGTGTATATGAAGATAGATAAGATGGATGGATGGATGGATGGATGGATGGATGGATGGATGGATGGATGGATGGATGGATGGATGGATGGATGGATGGAATATGTTATAGTTTTTTTTCTTAACTTTAGTTAAACTCTGTTAGGACCGCTTTATTCATCTTTGCATGTCGATTGTAGGCACCTGGTACAGGTGTTTTCTCTGTTCCAGTGTCCCATATAATTATACCAATGTTTCATTTCCTGATACTAAGTAACTAATCTACTTCACTCCCTTTAAATTAATTTCAATGATTGAATGATTTTTAATCCTTGATCACCTAATCTGTTACTAGTCTCTGGTAATTTCTCAGCCTGTCTTTTTTGRCTTGCCTTGGTATAACAGCTGATATTCTCAGCCAAGCTGCAGTTTCAGTATTACCATCCTTGTTTGTTTTTCTGTCTCAACTTGGCCTTTTATAATAACCCTGACAGTGCTGATCTGTGTACTTCTCTTGCATTTTGTATTTTCTTGATTATTTTCAGTAATTTAATTTTTCTGTCTCTCAAGTCTGCGTTTAAGTATTTCCAGTGTTTATGAGTGAAACATTGTTCTTTTTCATATATTTGGTTCTTTATGAGCAGTCTTCCTCTTGCTTGTTCCTATTTAGATCTGGCTTCTGTCACTGTCCATCTGTGAAACCAGGTGATTGAAGGAAGCTTACTTTGCCCCCACTTCAATGTTCAGATTCATGTTTCACGTGTGCAGACAGACATTCAAATGTCAGTTGCTGAAGTATATTCTAAAAAATTTAAATTGTTAAAGTCATGTCATAAAAATGCAAGAAGATTGTGTTATTTGTGCTGCTGAACAAGGGAGCAGAAAAATGTACAGAAGAAATGTAATTTGTACTTCTTGAAGTATGGCACTTSGAGCACAGTACTCTGCAATTTCTTCTCTTCCCATTCTCCCTTTGCTGCTTCTCCTAAAAAAGAGAAACAAATTCTTTTTTTTTCACTTACATTTCTCTACTTAAAGCAGTTGAGCATGTCAGTTTTAAAGTTTTAAACTTACTCATTTTTCTTCTTTCAGAAATCTAGGATAACATAGTTGTCACTTCTGTGAATTATGTCAGTCTTGTTAYGTCTGCACCTGGTATTTTCAGTACTTTGTTTTAATTAAGTTTGTTTCTTTACAGGTACTGTCCGAACATTGAGTAATGCAGAGGAATACCTTGATGATGAAGACTCCGATTAGCTTTTTTAATTCAGTGTGGAAAAACTATAACTTGCATTGCCTATGTCRTTTTCAAAACGTATCTTCGCAACTGTAAAAATATCTCACTTAGAATATTGCAGCATATRAATAAGAGGGTGAGATCATGCTTTGCAAAGAATATTCTCCACATAGTCAGAAGATGTCATGTTTTAAATCAGAGTTCCTTTTTGGAATAATTACAGAGGAAGTGTGGCACACCCTTATCACTGAATGGGCAGAGGACCATCTTTTAAACTCACAAATTTCATCTCTGGCCTTCCCAGCAAGTGCCTTGCATCTCTGGAATACTGAAAGGTCCTTCTGGGGCATCAGGATACCACTGGAACATTTCCCCAATTCCCATACCCCCATTTTCTCCCTGGGTATATGTTCCTTCATGCAGCCAATACTAYAGAGTCAGTACTGGTTGGCAGGAGATGCTACTGTAGAGAGTGACCATTATTTGCCCGCATGGAACCCGCATGACAGGGTTTGATTGTTAATTTTGGTAAAATTCTTACCCTTCCTTCCTCTGTCCCTCTGAGGAAGATGCAAAATGACCTGGGACAATCTGCCTCAGAAATGCTTTGTGTTTGGTATTGCTATGGGCCCAATCCCTGAAATCTTAACAGAGGTGAAATGCTTGTGTAAGGTTTGCTTTAGAAATTCACTTGATGCCTTGATTATTTTTCTTCTTGAAGTGTATTATGCTGAAATTATTTGTAGTGAAAGGAAGATGGAATATTTTTCTATTTATCCTGCCTAAAATTTTTTAATACTGATCTCTTGCTTTTACTGTTTGAAAGTGCTCTTAATGTTTTATCCTACATTACCTCAAAGTTTCAGTGTGTTTGAAGTAATGAGGGAAGATGTGTATGAAATATACATGAGAGTCTTTAGAAGAGATACCTGAGGCTGAATAAACATTTTTAAAATATGTTGCTTCTTCCTATGAATTAAGAAAAATAGAGAATTCAGCCACTTTCAAGCTTCCCTGCAGAGTTAATAAATAGTACTTTCTTCATATTGCTCAAATAGCTGCAGTCAAATATTKCACATTACTGAGAGATACTTTCCTATTGTGATGGTAAGTAAATGTTGCAAGTATTTGCAATACAATCTAATTTTCAATTTTTGTTGCTAACTTCTCTATTAAGGGCTTGTGAGAAATTCATTCTAACACAGCAGTTTGTGATACTAAAACTGGAAAAAAAAAAAGGAAAAAAAGCTCTTGTGAAAGGCTGGGGATAAGTGAAAAGCTCTTTCAAAAATCTGGGGATAAATGAAAATCACACTAAGTATTTTAAGAGATTTTTTTAGAAAAAGTGTAGAGCACTCCTCATTTCCTGTTTTTAAAAGACATTGAGCCAGATTTTTATTCTTATTTTTGTCGTCCTGGAAAGAACTAGATGCAGGTAAAGCGTGTTGATCTCTTATCCAAGAAGGCAGTGTTTGATTGGCYACAACTGTTTAAGATGGGGACATTGTGCAAGTAGTTCTCTGCAGATGTAATTGTGGACTGTTTAAATGTTACAGCCATAGAAGAAATGTTTAGCAGTGGTTAATGAAAAGTGATGTTTTATTTTGTGTGAACTTGAAGATCCTAGAGAGGAAAAAATAAAAACCAAAGCAACAAATTTTTTCTCTCTAGCTTTCATTAGAACAGTTGTTGAATATAACTCATAATATATAGAGACTGTTCTGCTTCACATTTAATCAGCCGGCACTTTTACTAGCTCAAGCCTTTTACCTAGTCAAGCTACATGTTATGCTGCATACTGTTCAAATTATGCAATTTTGAAGTGCAAGCTTTAAAGCTGTGTAACAAAAGACAGGAAGGTTCAGGTATCTGTTACATGAGTCTTTTTCCTGCATAAACAAAGCTCATAAGCTTAAAATTTTTCAGTGTCACTGGATGTGGAGAGAATGGCTCAAATCACTGTTTTTTCTGTCGAGCTTTGGAGCCAGAATTTGTATTAATAAATAACTCTTATTGTAACGACATCTGCTGCCATGGGTTCAGCTTCCTGCAAGGAAGATTTTGCGCTGTGGAATCAACAGCTGCCAGAAGACACTGTGTTCTGCAGACRGATCTCAGTGCTGTACAAGAATGGTGACAGAAGCACAAGCTGAGCCCAAAGATCACATCCAGAGTTCTTGCTGGAGTGTCCTGAAGGCAGCACATTTACATCACAAGGCACCCAGGGAGTGCTGTCATTTGTTTCTAGGACAAAAATTACTTCTTTTATTTTCTTTCCCACAACTTTRTTTTTCTTTATGAAGCTGTCTACTCATCTTGTGAAATACAAATCACTGTGAATGCTTTCAGGCAATAAATTACTTTTTGTCTAACTCAAGAAGTTAAGTTTTGATTTTAAAAAACCCAAAAACAGAATGAACAAACAAAATGCYCCCCAATAAACCAGACCCCAAAGCAAATGTCTTACAGCTAGAAGAAATTACAGCTGAAGTAAGCTGATACAATGTCTTGGTAGTTATGCAAACCTTCTTGGCTCCCCCTATTTTCCTTCATTGTTTGTGTCACTACAAGCTTATTTAAATTAAAGACTTTTTCCGAGGACAGCTACATTCACGTGTCTAACAATAAGAAAAATAAGGTTTTTAAGAGCAGCAAAAAGTTTTCAGTCTTGTGGTATCTTAGAATTGAACATTGAAGGATACTCTGTCTTGGGTACTTCTGGTTTAATTAATGTGTGTGCCTATCTATTGAAAATCAACTCTATTCCAGTCAGAAGAATTGTCCTGTTGGGCAACAGAAATGGTTTTGATTGATTTGAAACACTTTCAAACTAAATTAATAWATTTTCGGTTGGCTTTATCAAAAGAATCTAACGCTTGGTCCCTGTTTTGTAGAAGAAAAAATTAAGCATTTCATGTGCTGTCTTTAGTACTTGATTCTTGATAATTTTCAAGTTAATATGCAGTTTTGCTAGGACAAAACCCATCTCACTGAATTAACTCTCTTACACATCCCATCACCTGAAATGTAATTTGCTTAAAACAGTTAAGGTCACACTAAATATTCAAACTGAGTGGCCCATTGTCTTAACAAAGTCTCCAGCTTAGAACCGTGACTCCAAGTTTCTGAAGACACTTGTATTTCTACTGTTTAAGGTTTGTATTGAGGGCCAAAGATTGCTCAAACTAAGTTAGCCTGAGCTTGTGGCCATTTCACTTATGTACTACAAAGATGTTTAAGCCTGCAGTATATATCACAATTAAAAATTTATTTGCAGCCATTGCCACCTTCTGCTGAAACCATTGAAACATGCCACTGAGCAGAGTAACAAATAATGGGCCATCAGTCATCTGCTTCCTGAAACTGATAAAAGCTGGAGTTACTGAAACTGTTTCAGTACAATATTAGTCAACTGTACTTGGATCTTACCAGGAGACAGAAACAAGCAGAAATGATTTTGAAGAACTTGGATCAGAATTCTTAATTTGATACAAAATCAATATGTTAATTTGCTAAATAAATAAAAAAGCAGCAGCTGGATAGGTTTTCTGGATTTTTTTTTAAGCTGCACAATTAAGAAAATCATTTGTTAAAAATAAGTCTACTACAAAAACAATATAGAAAAAAAGTGACTTCGTCACAAGTTCTGGGACAGAACTTGGARTGGTGGTAGTGTCTGCCTCTGGCAGGAGAAAAATTACCAAATACCTGTTTACTTGATGCCTGTTTTTTCCCCAGCTATGGGTTGATGCTGATGATACGTCCCATCTGCAGTCTTTCCTTGAAAGCCATGTCATTACTTAATCCTTCTACCAAGCTTAGTGGTCTTCCTGTGGTGTCTGTAGAGCAGCCCACAGAACACCAGAGAATTCTGCTGGAAGAGACAGTTCTGTGACATTGTGACATTGCTAACCTATGAGCAGTGTCACTGGGAAAAATAATGGGGTCCAGCTAAAGTTCACCCTCCCAGTTACATAAGGAGGGTTGTTTCCTGTGGTTGTGAGTATTTCCTACTCACAGATCAGAGGCTGAAGTAATCTCTTGCAGAGACAGAGGTAATTTAGGTGGGCCTTTTTAAGTGGATGGGTAACAGAAGAGAGCTTGGCAGGGTACCAGCACTCAGCTGTTACACATAGGCTAGAGTTTATGCAGCCAGAAGAGGGTCTGTAATTTGCCCTATTCCCTTGTGAGTTACACATTCCCATGAAATTCTGGAACACAAATTGGAGTACCTCTCTGTTCTCCACTATCACTTAAGAACTTTTGCTTTTAGACATAGCATATGTGCAGTTTCTTGTGAAAATCCAAATTCCTTCTTCCTCTCTATCCAGTGATGAACTCCTAACTTACAGGAAATTTCTGAGATTTAATATAAAACAAGTATGAAGAAATAAAGTGCCACAAGCAAATTGGGCATTTGAAGGTTTGTTGTAGTCATATTTCTGATTTGAAATCTGAAGCAAGTCTCTGGAATCCAGTGAAGATACATGGGAAATGGAGAYCTCTGTTTTTAAGTGAAGGCTTTATCTTCTCATATAATTTCTATGGTATGGTGTGATATGGTATGGTACAATCTGAAATTCATTCAAAAGTAGTACATATTCTTCTCAGTCTATCAGTTTTTATTAGTCCTTTATGCTTTTCACTAAGATTTCTGTTTAAGCCATTTTGCTATAACGTTCCAGCTGCCTAGATATGAGTTCAAAACAGAAGAGGAATGAAATAAAAAATRGGTCTGGCCTACATGCACTTACACTGAAAGCAAGAGCAGTAAATGCTGAAAAAAAAAMAMAMMMCCAGTGTTAGAGATAGGTTGAGTAGTTGGCATTGTAATTGAGAGAATTTATAAAATGATTAAAGCCCTGAGCTAGCATATATGTTAGCTTTAACAATTCCCATCAGAGAATATGGCCAATTCAATTACAATTCTGTGAGTWCTTTTCAAAGAAGTTTCCACGTGGAGTTACAGAGTGGTCTTGTCAGAAAAAAATAATTCAAAATTTCAGATCACTTCAGAGGCTGAAACACTGCAAACATTTTYTCATCAGTAGGACAATGTTGGAAGATGAAGAGTTTGCATAGGCTCCTTCCAACTAGTGCTGAAAATGTTTGAATTATTTCCAGTAGGTGTGATAAGATCATTCAAACTAAATGAGTTTGGAATTAAAAGCCATTATTATATAGCAAAAAATATATTGAAAATGTCTGGTGGTGATCATATTTAACTAGGACTCATTTTTAAAACTATTCAGTTTTAACTGAAGCCAGCCTATGCCAGTCACAGCTTCAGCAGTTTTCTAAAGATTATAGCTTTATACATGTTGTTTTAGGGAAAGTCCAGTTTARCTGTGTGTTTATGGGTTGTTTGCTGTCAATTAGCTGTGCTGTGGCTTTGCACTTTTCCTGGTTACACCAGCTGCCTGCAGCTTACAAGCTATTATTTTTTCCATTTCAGTCTAGTACTTAGAAAGTTTAAATGAAATTTAATAGTCTTGTGCTAGGCATAGTTTTCCATTTGTTCACCCTGGGTGGCTGACTGAAGTGCACTGTAGTCATATCCTTATCTCAGTTAAAACAGATCTTGTAATTTAAATAAAAAGGAAAAAATAAATTAAAAACCAAGCCTAGWGCATGAAATCTCATGTGTCATCTTAAATGCAAAGGTGAGAGTACAAAAAGGAATCTCTTTGGAAATACAACAGAAAGATAAACTATTTAGATACACACCAGTATAACAGCATTATTTTTGTGWAAGTCCATACAGACAACCTGAAATCTGTCTTATACAATTGTGCAATTAAAGTATATATTTTGGCTTTCTGGAATTTAATTGAATTTATTTTCCTAAATTGCCATTTGTCTAAAGTTACAATTTCCAGGATGCATTTGTTTTGGCCTTAAGTTAGAAGGAAGAACTTCAGTCTCCCATGAGAGAAGTAAAAAATATTTTTCGTGTATCTGCCTGTTTTCACATACCTGTAACTGATGCCCAAAAACTGGGCAAGAATCTGAAACTGCATAGTCGAATGGTTGTAAGGCTATTCGTTAATTCAGTGCCGGGAGTGAGGGCACACTTGTCCATCCTTGCACAGCACTAGCTTTTATACATTTTTACTTAATATACATTTTATTCTTTCACAACCTTCATATTGCGACAAGTTTTCCGATCGCGTGATTATGYAAGCCCTGGTGGCGGTGGCACATGCGCGGTTCCTGCACAGGGTGGTCCTCAGCCTCCTGGTGGCCGTTTTGATGAAGGCTGTCGCAGTCC